GGCGAGCTTGCCCGAGCGTCGCTTGCCTTACGGCGCGGAGCGAGTAGGCAACCCATCCACACGCCTGAATAGGGTACAGTATTTTAACCAAAACAAGAAGCATGGGATTAGGCGGGGCCTAAGTATGGCACATCCTTGCATAAGAATGTCAATAGCTCTAATTACGCACAAATGGAAAATTGCAAATGAAAATCTGGTTCAACCGAAAAGTGCAACTGTTTCTCTGTTTTTTGGCTTTATAAACACCCGCCGAAAAGAAAAGAATAGGTGCGCTTCTAGATATATACGTCGCTTTTGACGTCATACCCCTTCTCGAGAATCTCTCTGACCGACCATCACCGCCGCCGACAAGGTGCTCTGAATACAGGGCTCCCCGGCGCGGCGCGGCGGTCCCTCTGATCTGCCAATCAGCTCCGCGGCCGGCCCGTGCGCGTGCTCTCATTGGCTAGCGGAGCTCCGGCGTTGATGTCACCGATTATATTGGTCGACCACGCAACCCGCCCGACTCCGGACCAGGCGCCCCGCCCGGCCCCGCCCCACCCCCGCGTAGAGTATATAGCCCGCGGGATAATTACCAGTTGTTGGTTCTACTGGTCGCATCGATCTACTTGCGCCGCAACGGGTTGCCTTCAGCAAGTTGCTGACCCGGTGGCGCCTAAACCGCGCGCTGCAGCCTCCTCGCCGCAAGCGCCGTCGCGACGGCGGCCCGGGCAGAGGGACTCGGCTTTAGGTGCAAGCCGGGTGAACCAGAACGAGCAGAACACGGTTGGAAACATCTAACCCAGCGAGAAATGTGGATATCGAATTGACATCAGAACGATATATCGGACATAAGAAAAGTGTTGATTTCGGGCCCATTTTCGTATCAGTTCTGAGTCAGAAGCTTGAAAACGATATCGTTCTGATGTCGATTCGATATCGCTTAAAATTCATTTCGCACTGGGAAGCCTGCATAACCACAAACAAATGTAGTATCAGGGAGACAAACCCGTCTGTGTGTAAACTTTGGGTGTCATCCACGAGGCACCGTGGCTGGGTTGCATACTTTAAGGGGGTTTGCACCATAAAATTGCCTACCCTGAACGACTGTCTAGCGACGACACCCCCCCCCTCCCCCCACCACTGACACACTTGAACCGCGCCGGTATTTGTTTCTACAACTAACTCATAGACCTAACGACAGAGATTTTTCTCGTTTCAATATTGTTTTTACTTCGTAATCAAGTGACAAATTTCTTTGAAGATGGCCAAAATAATTGATTCAAAGAACGCATTTTCTAGGTGCATGGGATCATTGGGAAATTTAAAATATTTTCACAATGAAATGAATGGAATGGCATGCAATGGAGTGAATGAATGAAGTATTAAATGAAGAACCAATGCATTTCAATCGGCGTTGGATACATCAGCACAACGGTTTCGAATGGCGTCAATGAATGGCCGTGAGTGAAGCTTGCAGAGAAAACTGCACTGGAAATGCAAGTGTGTGAATGTCGCTCACCTGCAGGTGAGCGACATTCCATTCGTACACTTAGGGGGGTAAAGGTGTGAAAAAATTCACACGTTTACCCCCTCAAGTGTACGAAAGAAATGTCGCTCACCTGCAGGTG